AAGGGGACTCCTCTGGACGTGGAGTGAGGGGTAGTTAGGCACAGGCCCAGCCGCTATCGGCACACACTGCACCTCAGAAACATCATCCAGGTAGTGGCACTGCCTGGGGTGGGGGTGTCACCCGTTAGGTAGGCTGTATGGGGTGGGGGTGTCACCCGTCAGGTAGGCTGTATGGGGTGGGGGTGTCACCCGTCAGGTAGGCTGTACGGACTCCACCCCATAGAAGACGTGGCCTCCACAATACTGCACTGGTCATGGCCAACAAGATCTATAGTACCGAGCCGCGCCTGAACTACAAAGGCGGGATTTTCATGGCTCCGCCCACTATCCTACAGTCAGGGGTGAACTCCTTATTTTGGGGAATTGGGATGGGATGAGACATGCGACTACGCTCTGGTCTAAGGCGGCGCCACTAATGTAAGCAGCAGAACTCTGACTATGGGAATGGAATTGTGCCGGCCGGTGTCCTCTGCTCCCGCCACCATTTCCTCTTACTGTTGTAGGTCCATTGTTCATCGGCATCCATGTGAGTTTCTCCGGCGCTCGGGCCGACACCGGGAAAGAAGGCGTGTCCCAGTGTGCCGCCTGGACCATCGAAGGGATAGCCATCTCCATGCGTTCCTCCGACAAAGCCCACGCGAATATCGGCCTCCCCCTCCATCTCGGTGAAGGTGAGCTGCGTCTCCCGGCTCCAGACCTCCAGCGCGCTCCTCATCAATGTCCTTGTGGTGTCTTGTGTCAGGGAGATGGGGAAGCTCTGCATCCTGCAAGAAAGATGGAGGACGGCTCACTGCAAGAAGGAGACTCCTCATCTACTCCATCAGGCCCGGAGGACACACAGACCCCGTACCTCCACCCTACAGGGAGGCCCCCGGTGACCCCGTACCTCCAACCTCCAGGGATGTCCCCGGTGACCCCGTACCTCCACCCTACAGGGATGCCCCCGGTGACCCCGTACCTCCAACCTCCAGGGATGTCCCCGGTGACCCCGTACCTCCAACCTCCAGGGATGTCCCCGGTGACCCCGTACCTCCACCCTCCAGGGATGTCCCAGGTGACACCGTACCTCCACCCTCCAGGGATGCCCTCGGTGACCCCGTACCTCCACCCTACAGGGATGCCCCCGGTGACCCTGTACCTCCAACCTCCAGGGATGTCCCCGGTGACCCCGTACCTCCAACCTCCAGGGATGTCCCCGGTGACCCCGTACCTCCACCCTCCAGGGATGTCCCCGGTGACCCCGTACCTCCACCCTCCAGGGATGTCCCCGGTGACCCCGTACCTCCAACCTCCAGGGATGTCCCCGGTGACCCCGTACCTCCAACCTCCAGGGATGTCCCCGGTGACCCCGTACCTCCACCCTCCAGGGATGTCCCCGGTGACCCCGTACCTCCAACCTCCAGGGATGTCCCCGGTGACCCCGTACCTCCAACCTCCAGGGATGTCCCCGGACCTCCAACCTCCAGGGATGTCCCCGGTGACCCCGTACCTCCAACCTCCAGGGATGTCCCCGGACCTCCAACCTCCAGGGATGTCCCCGGTGACCCCGTACCTCCAACCTCCAGGGATGTCCCCGTACCTCCAACCTCCAGGGATGTCCCCGGTGACCCCGTACCTCCAACCTCCAGGGATGTCCCCGTACCTCCAACCTCCAGGGATGTCCCCGGTGACCCCGTACCTCCAACCTCCAGGGATGTCCCCGTACCTCCAACCTCCAGGGATGTCCCCGGTGACCCCGTACCTCCAACCTCCAGGGATGTCCCCGTACCTCCAACCTCCAGGGATGTCCCCGGTGACCCCGTACCTCCAACCTCCAGGGATGTCCCCGTACCTCCAACCTCCAGGGATGTCCCCGGTGACCCCGTACCTCCAACCTCCAGGGATGTCCCCGTACCTCCAACCTCCAGGGATGTCCCCGGTGACCCCGTACCTCCAACCTCCAGGGATGTCCCCGTACCTCCAACCTCCAGGGATGTCCCCGGTGACCCCGTACCTCCAACCTCCAGGGATGTCCCCGTACCTCCAACCTCCAGGGATGTCCCCGGTGACCCCGTACCTCCAACCTCCAGGGATGTCCCCGTACCTCCAACCTCCAGGGATGTCCCCGGTGACCCCGTACCTCCAACCTCCAGGGATGTCCCCGTACCTCCAACCTCCAGGGATGTCCCCGGTGACCCCGTACCTCCAACCTCCAGGGATGTCCCCGTACCTCCAACCTCCAGGGATGTCCCCGGTGACCCCGTACCTCCAACCTCCAGGGATGTCCCCGTACCTCCAACCTCCAGGGATGTCCCCGGTGACCCCGTACCTCCAACCTCCAGGGATGTCCCCGTACCTCCAACCTCCAGGGATGTCCCCGGTGACCCCGTACCTCCACCCTCCAGGGATGTCCCCGGTGACCCCGTACCTCCACCCTCCAGGCATGTCCCCGGTGACTCTGTACCTCCAACCTCCAGGGATGCCCCCGGTGACCCCGTACCTCCACCCTCCAGGAATGCCCCCGGTGACCCCGTACCTCCACCCTTCAGGGATGTCCCCGGTGACCCCGTACCTCCACCCTCCAGGGTTGTCCCCGGTTCCCCCGTA